TAGGGTGTATTCGATCAGGTTAGGGTTAGGGTGTATTCGATCGGGTTGGGGTTAGTGTGTATTTGATCAGGTTAGGGTTAGGGTGTATTCGATCGGGTTAGGGTTAGTGTGTATTCGATCAGGTTAGGGTTAGGGTGTATTTGATGGGGTTAGGGTTAGTGTGTATTCGATGGGGTTAGGGTTAGTGTGTATTCGATGGGGTTAGGGTTAGGGTGTATTTGATTGGGTTAGGGTTAGTTTTGAGTCTAATTGATTCTACATCAGAGCGAGTCATCTACATTCTATACATTAGCTTGCTTTCTCTCCATTGATCCTGCCTGACCCACTGTGATCTCCAGCATTTTCTGTTTTTAGTTCAGATTCCAGCATCTGCAGTAACTTGTTTCTACTTGCTTTTTTCAGACCAGCTTTATAGATTGTGAGACAGCCCTGTCAGTTGATGGTGTGAGCTTAAAGAAATTGGCAGCCAAGTTGGTGGTGGGGGGTGGGGGGGGCGGCGGGGTGGCGGGTGGGTGGGTGGGTGGTGGAGGGTGGGGTGGGTGGCTGGGTGGTGGAAAGCACCTGCTTCAGTGACAGATGTTTATTCTTGGTGCTGAGCTTTATAACATGGGAGTTCACACAGTGCAGGAGTCTTTGCATTGATTATGGAGTTGTTTTGTTGGTGTGATAAAAGAGGCAGGGACTCTGGGGAGAAAGTGTAGACAGAGGCTGATACTGTGTAAAAGCTAAAAAAGAAGTGAAATACACACATCTGAGCAAATTGGAGGAAATACTGGGCCTTTAATGAAAAACAGAGAGTGTCACAGCAAAACGGGACGTCTGTTCACCGCATAAATAAATGATCCCCAGATTTGTTTTTGACATACCCAAAGGCTATTCAAGAATATGATCACTTTGAGAAAGACTTCCTGGACCTGGCTGAAATATTATATTAACGTACTTTCTGAAACTGACATTTTATTTGAAATTAGATTTCCCTTGGACCTCTCTCTGGCCTTATTGATTGTTCTTAAGTCTTTTCTCAGGCACTGCTGTTAAGGACTAAAATATTTAAGTTTGTTATGCATTTGAAATCCTGGAGTGGGAATGTCACCTTAATTATTGAGCTGTACTTGTTAATAGGTATTGTAATATTTCAGGTGTAATATTGCAGAGTCTACAGCCTTGATACCCTATAATATTGGAGCAAATTACTGCATATGCTGGAATCTGTACTGAAAATAACAAATACTGGAAATCAAAGTGGGTCAGACAGCATCCGTGGAGAGAAACTCTTCATCAGAGTTATCTAGACTCAAAATGTTAGCTTACTCTGTCTCTTTGGATGCTGCCCGACCTGCTGTGATTTCTAGCATTTTTGTTTTCAGTATTCTATATTATTGGTTTTATTTAAATTGCTTCCTCAGTCACATCCCCTTTGTCCTATCTCTCATCCAATCCTACCTATCCTCACCTCTCTCTCTCTCCCTCTCTCTCTCACACACCTCCCCCCCCGCCCTCCCCCCCAGCCCCCACCAACCTCCCCTCACCTCCCTAATCCAGGAACTGGAGCTTCCTTCATTTCCTCCTGCCATTCCAGATCCTGGTTCATCTTGTCCTTGGTTCATTGAATACTCCATCTTTCCTCCCACCCCCCGCCCCACCAACTCCTTCCTGGCACCTCACCTGTGTCTCCCCTTTATCAATAAACTGCTGACCACACGGCTTCCTGATCTGTGTGTGCGTGTCAGTGTGTTTGTGTGCATTCCTGTGTTTACTGCCTATAATTTAGAAGATGAGTGTAAAGTGTGACTGTAGCAGTGCGTTGTGTGAAGAACAGGCCAGTGCATACACATAGTGAAGCTTGGCCAGGCCTTTCATGTTGGGTGTCGCACCCGAATGATGAATGGTGTTTCATTTCCAGGAGTTGGGTACAGAGCGAGGGGTACATCGCGGTGGCTCACTGAGGTGTGAGCCTGTAGGAGGCTCCTCCCATCAAAGGCGTATGCAGTCGGAGTGTTTACAGAATCGCCTACCCATCACCCAGCACTTTGGCCAGGTAAGGAGCAGCCTTGGCAACTGGCTAGGCATTCAGAACAGGCACTGGGCATCTTCACCCTTGCTGCTCACCTCTAGCCTGGCACACAGGCTTGTCCCCCTGCCACCCTACCCTAACCATGCCCTGGGCTGCAAGGACAGAAAGCTATTGAACTGTCTTAACAAAGTGTGATCCTGACCGACGCCATGTAGAGAATGTCAGGGATGGGTGATTAACAGAGGGGAACCTTGGCTGTTTTCTCATTCCCCCCATAGCCCACGTTTCCTTGGAGGAGAGGCCAGGTCACCTGTAGCCCCTCACCAGGTTACCGGCTGCTCGGCTTTAGAGAGAGCCAGGGCCATGGCCCATATCCAGCTGAAAAAGTCATGAGGAGAAGCAAATAGGGGAGCTATCAGCTTGAAGCAAGGGTCTTCATCGCCAAACAGGAGTCTGTATTACACAAGCAACAGCCTCAAAATGACTGGTCTCAGTCATATCAAACAAACTGCCCACTTTCTCCGTCTCAGTAAAACACCCCTTTCTAATTTTATTGAGAGTTTATACTGAGGCTGACAGGGCTGGGGAGGGGAGGGTGTAGTTTGTGGGTGTGATTCCAGCCAGGCCTCGCTTTGTTCTCACAGATTTGACATTTTTGTTGTTTCTCCTCCAGTCTCGTCCTCGCCGACCAGCTCGTCGCTACACCAATTCCGAGACTGTGCTGCCCACTGGGACAGACAGGTAACAATTTCAATGACAGATAAAATTCCCCCTCCCCACCACCACCAGCACCACCAACACTGGGTGCTGACTATACCCTCCCTCTCTGCCTGCTCTACGTTAACGGCACTTTCCCAAAATACCCCGGGGTACAGAGTCCCAGCCCAGTAAGTAGGAGTGACAGCATTCCCTCCCTCTCCACTATCCATGTGGAGCATTAAACCCCTCCCACTCCCTGTGTGGGCTATTAACCCTTTCCCCTCCATATGTGGCATTAACCCTCTCCCTGTCTGGAGCATTAACCCCCTATCACGCCCCCTTCCTTTCTGGGGCATTAATACCCACCTCATTCCCTGTCCTACCAATCCCCCTCCCTGTTTGGGTATTAACCCTCTCCCTACACCTAATGTCAACACTAGGGCTACTAACACCTTGCTGGCCACAGGTCCTGTCACTCTCAGCTACGACCGACTGAGCACTAAAGGAAAGCCCGCTGTACCTCTGAATTTCCTTTGTCAAATCCTGTGTGAGGTTTTTGAGTCCACAGTTTAGGATCTGCCAGATGATGCCATTTCAGTAATGATTTCTGTTTTGCTTGTAATTGGCCTGAATTGTACAGATCCAAGAGTGGGGAGCTCAGACTGGAGAGCTCACTGGACACGATCGAAGATGAGCTTCTGGACTGTAACCTTCTGCAGGATGAGGATATGGACCTGCTTGGGGAGATCTTTGACACACTGAGCACACAGACAGCACATGACAAAGGTCTTCTGTATGGCACTCGCAGCCTTGATTTCTATAACTTGGATTCTATGGAGGATATCCATAGGGTGAGAAATCCTGCAACATCGATTGTGCTGTGTCTGCTCATTGCTGTCCAATCTATTTGTGATGTAACGTTTGCCTGTCTAAGACATGGGTTCAAACCTCATGCTAGAAACGCAGGTCCAGAATCCAGGCTGATTCAATAGTGCAGTGCCAAAGGAGTGCTGCACTCTCAAAGGTGCAGTCTTTTCAATGAGATTTTAATTTAATTCTCCATTTACCCTCTGAGGTGCATGATAAAGATCCCAGAGTAAATGTTCACCAACATTTATTCCTGCACCAACACCCAGATTAACAAGCCATTTTAAAAAATGTATTCACACCCTGGAAGTGAACAAGACTGACAGTTAGAGCATACATCTAGTCACCCTGAGGTGTGCAATACAATTAAAAATAAATAAAACTAAAAATACAATTCTGTACAAAACAGCTTTAGAAAATAGTTAAGAACAGAGTCTCCAAATGCTGGGGCCAGTAAATCTTTCCTTCCTGAAAATCCTAATCAGTGAATCAGTGGGTTTTTAATCCCAAACGAGCACCGTCATGCTCCTATGTTGAGTTTTTGAGCATCAGTTTTTTCAAAATCTTCTTCCCTTTTTAACATGAACAGAGAGGTTTCAAACAGCTATAGTGGGATTTGAACCTGTGTTCTCATGATGACAGGATCAGGAATATAACAATACACTATCACCCCGAGTTTCTCTCCCTACATATATTTAATTGTCTGCTACAAGGCCATCAGATTTCCTTTATAGTGAAGTCACCATTGTCCCAGAGGAATATAGAGCTGTTCAAGGTTACAGCGTCGGTCCTGCCTTCTCAACCTCGCCCCTCACCTGAGGCATAGTGACCCACAGTCATCTATTTCTAACAAGAGAGAGCAGGCCTATTGTCCTCTGGGACTGTGACAACCTTATATTTCTTTATCTTAATGTGCAGTGACCATTGTTGTATAAAGTCAGTGTGCTAAATGCTCTTTGATGTGTGAGATCTGTTTGAATGCACCTCTCTCTGCTCAGAAACAATTTTATTTGTGACAATATGCAGACGACATTGTCTTCGACCAGGAAAAGCCTGACACTGAAACCTCGGGTCACAATATCTTATCCTCAACACAACAGGCATTGCTTATCCAAACGTCCTCATTAAACAGTTGTTTCAGTGCGTTGATAAACTGCTCATTTGTCTTTCTTGTGTTTACAGGTTAAAGACATCAACCCCAGTGAGGAAAACCTGAACTGCAAGAGTCGGAGGGAGTCCGAACCAGTTCAACCTGGCAATTGGGGTTTTGACGGTTCTGCAGAGTGTGTGAAGTCCCTCTCAGCTTCTCTGGATGAATTGTCAGGTTTATCATCTGTATCCAATAGTCAGCCAGACCTTGGAGATTCTGGCAGTCTCTCCAGCAGCAGTCATGAAGAAAACATACCAGCTCCCGAAACAGGGACATTGAAATGCAATTCTCTGACCAACAACAACACAACAGACCCTGGATCAACGGAGGAATCTTCATCCAACTCCCCGTCTGGCAAAGCCAATGATAAATGTACAGGGATTCATTGGGATAAAGGATCTTCACTGGCCCAGTCCAACGAAACATTGGCTGAAAATGGAAATTCTCAACTGGAGGTGAGCGAGACGAGCGAGACAAGAGGTGAAGTGCAAACTGAGACTGTAGAGCTCGGTGAACTGGAACTGTCTAAAGGTGAATCTAAGCAGCACTATGGACAAGAAGCTTCAGTGGATCATGTTGAGAATGCAATCATGTTCAGAGAGATTAAGCCTGACCAGACCAATAACACTGAAAAATTTCCACCACCAACTGCTCCTAAAACATCAACCATGAGGTGGAGAGCAAAGCTGACTGCCCAGGGCAATAAAGAACTAGACGGCAGTGATATAAAGGGGGAGTGTTCCAGTGGCCAGGAAATGGGATCCAAGGAGCCAGCTTCCCACCCAGAGTTCCCTTTGCCTGCTCCTGCAGACATGACCACTGGTGAGGAGGAAACAGCTCCCCACGTACAGTCTGCCCTCTCTTATTTCAAGGCTCAGTCAGGGGAACAAAAGGCTGATGCCATGAAAGGAAAGGTGCACCAGTCACCACCCTCAGCAGGGGGGTCCCCTGGTAAATGTGGCATAACTGAGTGTAAGGAGGACCTGAATCCACGAAAGGTGCTCTCTGAGCTCACCACCTCAACTAATGGGAAGCCAGGCAAAAGTTCACCATCTCCAGACAGTGAAAAACAGAGACCTGAACCTGCAACAACGAGTGATAAAGATTCTGACATTACACCACCCAGAAAAGTTTCAGAGCTAAAAAAGAGATTTGAATCCTAGCAAACAAAAGAATTTATACTTGACTATTTCCATAGTTGGGGCATGTGTCTTTCTAACCAAATGATGGATATGTTGGTATAATGTCTTTGCTTTGTGGCTGCGCTGCATATTACAGATCTGCACACTAGTTTCCAGGTCAGTTAGCATAATTTTTTTTTTTAGTTATATAGAAAAACCGAGCTGAAACACCTAAAAAATGTCAGTTGTAAACTGGAAGAGTGACTTTTAATTTTTCCACTAACTTCTTCCACTCAGTAACTTTTTTCAGAAGTGGCTTCCTGGACAACAATTCAAGCTCCAGAAATGACTAAAGGAGAGGAGTGGGGAGATAGGGCCTGGTACTTGGAGATTAAGCCAATATTTTTCAGAATTCTCTATATTTAAAGGTGCAATGTGCAGCCTAGCGGCTGCAAACAGGTCCTCGCACAATTGGAACAAAAACAAAGTTGCTGGAGAAGCTCATCAGGTCTGGCAGCATCTGTGAAGGAGAAAACAGAGTTAATGTTTCAGGTCCGGTGACCCTTCCTCGCACAATTGGCTTCACGACAGTACAGGAAATATGTTATTAATTGTGTGAAATAGAGTGCAAATCTGTGATAATATAATTCAGCATCCTGAAAATTTGCTTAAAATGCAGGGGACACCTTAAAAAAATGTAGATCTTTGACTTAAATCTTCATTTTGAATATCATAATTAGGTGAAAAATTGGAATTTCAGACCATAAGATGTAGGAGCAGAAGTAGGCATTCAGCCCATCAATGAGATCACAGTTGCAACTGATAATCCTTAACTCCACTGTCTGGCCTTATCACCATAACTGATCCTAACTGATTAAAAACTGTCTATCTCAGCTTTGAATATGGTCAATTACCCAGATAAAGAATTCCACAGATTCACTACCCACTGAGAAAAGAAATTCCTCCTCAGTTCTGTCTTAAATACTTACTCTGAGATGATGGCCTCTGCTCTACACTCTCCTACAAGAGGAAATAACCTCTCAGCATCTACTCTGTCCTACACTGTCAAGCCCCCTGAAATCGTATATGTTTCAAAAAGGTCTCCTGTCATTCTACTAAATTCCAAAGAATGCAGCCCAACCTATTTAACCTCCCTTCATATGAAACTCCCTCCATATCCTGGATCAACCTAATGAACTTTCTGTGGACTGCCTCCAATGCCAGTAAATCTTTTGTTATGAAAGGGGACCAAAAATGTTCACAGTATTCCTAAGTTCTGATTTGTGCCACGTTTAGTTTTTGCAAGACCTCCCAATTTTTATCCTCTAATCCCTTTGAAATAAAGGCCAACATTCAATTTGCTTTTTTTCATACCTACTGAACTAAGATGCTTACTTTTTGTGATTCATTCACGAGGATCCCCAAATCCTTCTGTTCCATAGCTTTTTGCAGTTTTTCTCAATTTAAATAATATTCATCACCTGTATTTCCCTGTTAACATACATAGTCTCACATTTTATTCCATCTGCCAAGTTTTTGCCCACATTTAACCTGTCCATATCCCTCTGCAGAATATGTGTGTCATCCTCAACACTTGCTTTCCCACTTATTTTTGCGCCATCCAAAAACTTAACAATAGTACATTCACTTCACTCATGCAAGTCATTAATACACATTATCGATAATTGTGGCCCCAGCACTAATCCCTGTGGCACCTCATTCATTACTAGTCATCATCCTGAAAATGCCTCCCTTTATCCCAACTCTCTATTTTCTATTAGTTAGCCAGTCCTCTATCTATGCTAACTTCCCATCACTGTGGGTTGTCATCTTATTAAGTAGCCTAATATGAGGTACCTTATCAAATAATATCTTTTGGAAATCCAAATATATATACTGGTTCCCCTTTGTGTCTCCAACTTGTTACCACCTTAAAACATTCTAATAAGTTTGACAGGCATTAATTTCCCTTCATGAAGCTATGCTGACTCTGCATGATTATATATCATATTTCTAAATGCTCCACTGTTACATCTCTTATCGCAGACTCTTAACATTTTTCCAATGACAGATGCTAAGCTAACTAGCCTACAGAACGTCTTTTGTCCCCCCCTTTTTTGGATAAGGGTAGTTGGCAGTTTTCCAAACATCTGGGACATTTCCAGAATCTATGTATTCTTGGAAATTTATTACCAGTGCATCCACTACCTGTGTCGCTGCTTTGTTTACTATCCGAGGAAGCTTCCCATCACATTCAGAGAATGTATCAGCTTTTAGCCCCAGTAAATTTTTCACCAGTGATAGTTATTGAGTTTATTTTCACACCCCCTCCCAGCAATACACACACAAACACACATACACATACTCTGTCAACATTGATTATTTACACTTTTGGAATGCCATTAGGGTCCTCTGCCATGAAGACTGATGCAAAGTATTTATTCAACTCCTCTGCCATCCCTCAGTTCCCCAACATTATTGTCCCAGCCTCATTCTCTAAGGGGCCTATGTTTACTTTCGCCTCTCTCTTCCTTTTCATATATCTAAAAAGCTCCTAGTGTCTGTTTTTACATTACCTGCTAGTTTATCCCCAAAGTTAATGCTTTACTCTCTCTTAGTCACCTTTTGTTGGCTTTTAAAACATTTCCAATCCTCTGAATTACTATCATTTTTTGCCATGTTGTAACTTTTGTTTTTCAAGCAATGCTATCCTTAATGTTGCTGGTTAACCACAGTTGGTTTATCCCATACCTAGAATCCTTCTTCTGCACTGGGAACCATTTTTTTAAATGTTCCTCAACCGTCTTTCCTGTGAAACACTTTTTCCAATCAACTCCTGCCAACTCTGTCCTCATCCCTGCATAACTACCCTTATTTAAGTTTAACACTGTTGTTTTTGACACAAATTTCTCACATTCAAACAGAATGATAAATTCCATCCTGTTGTGGCCACTGTTCCATAGGGGATCTTTTACTCTGAGATCATTTATTAAACATGAATCTTTACACATTACTAGATCCAAAACTGATTCCCAGTAGAATCCACAACATATTGTTCTAGGATCTGCCCCAAATTCTTAATAACACAATCCAGTTTCACTTCTTGGACCCCAACATCCACATTACATGCTTCCACTGTAAATCGTTTTGATTGGAAGAATGAGGAGAGGACTTAATGGAACAATTTTGAGGACATGGAAACAGACTTGAACAGATTCATTTTCTGAAGAGGGGTCCTGACCCGAAACATCAACTTTCCTGCTCCTCTGATGCTGCCTGGCCTCCTATGTTCCTCCAGCTCCTCCAGCTCCACACTGTGTTATCTCGGACTCCAGCACCTGCAGTTCTTACTATCTCTGACATTCATACACAACTCTGTTTGTGGCAGGACAGGTTGAGAAAGCTGTTTAAAATCTATCCAAGATCTTTAGCTTTCATAAATACAAGAGCAGGGAAGCCAGGACTGATATTTTACCTTTATAAAACACTGTTTGGGCCTCAGTGGAATATTGTGTTCCATTCCAGAGCCCATCCTCTAGATGTTTACTAGAATGGGAGCCGAAATATGGGGAGTCAGAGAATCATAGAGTTGTACAGCACAGAAGCAGTCCCTTCGGCCCAACTCATCTGCATTGACCAAATATCCTAAACTGATCTAGTCCCATTTGCCAGCATTTTGGCCTGTATTCATGTACCATTCAGATGCCTTTTAAACATATAATTGTAGCAGCCTCCGCCACCTCCTCTAGCAGGTCATTCCATACATGCACCACCCTCTGCGTGAAAACATTCCCTTTTAAATCTTTACTCTCTCACCTTAAACCTATAGCTTCTAGCTTTGGACTCCCCTACCCTATGGAAAAGACCTTGGCTATTCACCCTATCAATGCCCCTCATGATTTTCTAAACCCTTCAGCCTCTGATGTTCCAGGGAAAATAATCCCAGTCTACTCAGCGTCTCCCTATAGCTCAAACCCTGAAACACCAGCAACATCCTTGTAAATCTTTCCTGAACCCTGGAGAAACTGTGATTGTTCTCTTTAGAACCAGTTTGGTCAAGATGGACAAAACTATAACTCTTTAGATAAACAAGGGAAAACAATTCCCATCGGCAGAAGAATCAGTAATGAATGGGGTACAATTTTAAGAAATTGATTAAAGAACAAAAAGGGTGATGCAGTTCTTTTTAACTAAGAGTTTTGTGTTCTGGACCGTACTACTTGAAAAATTATGGATCCATTTAAATAATAACTTTCTAAAGGAAATTGCATGAATACATGATGTTATGATTACAATCCCCAGCTGGTTTGTAAATGTATGATGTGTGTTGCAGTAGCAGTCTCTGGCCAGGTGATAGTGATGTTGTTCCAATAAAAATAATGGACAATTTACAGCTGCATTCAGAAAGGGCATGTTCGATCAGAGGAGAAGGATTCCAGAACCTGTCACAATCACGTGACAGCTAGTCTCATCTCTGTTGTAATACAGAAAGTGAATTGACACTCACTCTGTGCCTCTGTGATGTTGGTTGAGGGATAGGTATCAGCCAGAGCATCAGGAATAACTTCAAAACCTTCATTTAATGTCTTATCTGAAATACAGCACCTCTGAGAGATCAGTGCTCTCTCCATATTGTGTTAATGTCAAATTATCTAAACCACCTGGCCCTGCAATTGGTGCAAGTCTGACAATTTACACCACACCCACCCAGAGGTACTGAGGCAAACTGTAAAGCTGAGACTGGAGATTAACCAAGTCCACATCAGGATAGACAGAACCCAATCACCTCATTACCTACAACATTCCAAAGACCAAAAAGTAGATTTCTTCTGGATTCAGCTGTGACAGAAACTTTGGTTTTGAAAGCATGAACAGAACCATTAAAATGATAAAACTTGACAACCTTGTCATTGGTGAATTCTCCAGGCAAAGGCAATCAATATATTGTCTGGTGTAATTATAATAATGACTGGAATACTGTATAAATCTGCTATTGTAGTGTTTGCGGTTAAAAAAATAAATCTCCTTCACAGAATAAGGGAATTTGCATTAAGTTCATTTGACAATCACATTACTTCAGAAATAGAAAGTTACTGTGGCATTCAGGGATTAGAGGACATGGAATTTGAATGAAAACAAGCAACCACTGCTACAAAAATGGCAGGGCCACCTCATGAAGTGAATAGCTTTGCTTGTTTCTGTGCACTTCCAGGTTCACTGCACATTCCAAGGATGTATTTTCCAAACCCCCTCACTAGTTTTTAATTATGACATGACATTGAATATTTATCCTGGGATTGCACCCTGGGATTTGGTGATATTTGTCTCTGGATCATGTGCTAGACTTTAGGAAATTCCCGAAAAGTCCATGATATAATCTCTGGCACTGCAGCTGCACAAATAGTAACACATGTACACTGGTCATATGGAGAAACTGGGACTTTATAAAATAGCAGCTGAAGGTTCTAAGACTTCTCATAGCATACGAGAGGAACTAAAGCTCATTAATCATTGATAGCGTTTTATAATATGAAATAACAAAACCCAGTAATTAGATCGAAACCACAAGTTTTGCTTAAGACCAGGTTGAGAAACTGAGAAACATTACAGCACCCATGATGGCAGAAAGGTGAATTATACTATGAAAAGTTTACATTGGATGTTTCAATTATAAATTGTAGCAAAAATTTACAACAAAAACATAAAAAGTGTGACAAAAATGTCAATGGGAACTGCTTTTTTTCTAGCCAGTATATGCAAATACAAGATTTGTAAGATTGTTTGTTTCTTTCACTTCAAATTATAATAAGAAAATAACACTCCTACAGCAGAAAATTGTACTAAGAATTTCGTAGTCTCTTGCTTGATGTTGTATAAATTCACCCAGTGTTTATTTAACACCAATCTCTTTGCCTCGATATAAACTTGTCCAGTGTTTACTTAACAGCAATTTGACAATGTCACCTTGAGGAGAGACATTTTTACATGCTTCTTCTATAATTCTCCTGGCCTTTATAAAACAGCAGAACCTCCAACATACCCTGATTCAGGAAGATTTGTTAGTTATACATTTTTCATCTAGTGCAAGACAGCCACAGAAAAAAAAACTAAAATATATTTGCTTCAAATTTCCAGGAAACATCCATTATTCATCTTTTACTTACACGGACACATCTCACAAAATAACTTCCCAAAGTCTGTCTCCTCACTGCTTTCTCATCTACTGACAATGAAATATTACATCTCTCATCGTCCAATGAGCTCCACCACTGAGGATCTATTGATCAAAATGATCAAGAGTTTCAAATTGACACTGTGCCAAGGGTCAGGACTAAGTGAAGTTAGACCTTATTCTAGGGGAGCCCTCATGTGCCAATTACATCTCACCATCTTGAAAGTTATTGACTTACACAAGAAAGGATCAAACAGCGATTCTTTCAAAGTAAATCTAAAAAATCAAATTAAACATTCTTTTAATATTATATGACACAAAGCTATGCTGTCACCTATATGAATGAAATCTCTGTAAACAGATGTGTTAATGTATCTACATTCCACAGGCTCAGGAGATCACCCATTGTGTTATATATGGGTTGAGAGGACATGGATTACTAAATGGTCACTGATAATTGCTGAGTGCTAACTTTCATTTCACTGCATTCAATTGTGGGAAGGTGCAATGTGTTCATTCTGGGTCTATTTCTGTTTCAGAAGGACAGCGGGGCCCAGCGACCCAGAACAATGTAAAACAGGACCTTGCTAAACATCTTTGGTTTTTTCTTAAATAAAAACCTCCAGTGGAAGACCTCTCGGATACATTGGCCTGAAAGTCCTCCAAAACAGTCAGGTGTCCCTGTTCCAGCAGCTGAGAATAGGATAGCCAGACCCTCAACAGCTCAATACTGGTGGCGTATTGCTTAACACTTGGGGACAAGAGGTTGGTTTTGGTTTGTGGTGTCCACCTGAGGGTTTCCATCTGATCCAGAGATATCCCTGGAGAAACAGTGTCATGTAACTAGATCTTTCCAATAGTGACATCATGCACACCTGAAGATACGCAATTAAAAAGGCAGATACTGTGCCCTGCAATAGTTCAGTGTGGAGTATCTTTCGCCTGAAACCCAACAAAAACAAAATAAGAATCAATTAAAAAAAGGGTAAAGGTCACAGAATCATTGCTAATTATTGGCATTCTACAAAGCAATGGTCAACAGTGGCAGATTTTCCTTGGTTTTGTAGTTATAATCCCTGAGCACCAGCAGGATTGTAATGGCAGAGTCAGTGGGACACCACTTAGATAAGTCTTTCCTCTGGGGGCAGTTTCAGGCCATGGTTGACTTGTGTTCGGGCCCCAATCTGCTCCTGCTGACTCGGGTTATACGTCCCCTCGTCCCTCCGCTTTCCTTTCAGCTTTATGAACAGCACAGCAAGGATGATTATGATGATCAGCACACCACCGATAACACTGGGAGCCACAATGGCAGCAATCTGTATGGGAGGTCAATGACGCACAGTTATCCCTATTCTGACATCAGCAAGGAAACATTACAGACATTTTCCCTGTGCCTGTCCTACTCCTGAAAATGTTCAAACAATACTTATCCTCCAATAATCTACTCCCAATGTTTACACTTCAGATCAGTGTCAGAGTGTTGGTAGCCAATTCAATAACAGCATATTTCATGGGATTCTCCTTTGTAACAATGAGCAGCAAGAGGCAAGAAACATGGATCATTCTACCCCACCCACCCTGTCCTCTGGACAGAAACAGATTAACAGAACCAGCTGGACTCTGGTCCTTGGATTTAATAACCTCACATTCAGCACAAGCTCAGGTCAGAGCCCAGGATTACCTGGGAATTGTGTCACTCGGTATCAGACTACATAGTACACAATTCTCCTGGCTCATTAGGCAACCAGTTAGTTGGAAGCTGACAATACCATTCAAGAGAAATAAAACAGCAACCATCTCAAAAGGACAGAGCAGTAGAAATCCACAGAGAAACGGGAGCTCAAGAATTTTCACATCCCATGCCAACCATTCTCACACTTTAACCACGTCTTGAACAGAAGCTACAAACAGGGAGAGATATCCCATCTCATAGTTCTTCCAAGCTATCCCTTCCAAGCTATCTTCCAAGCAGGATCCAGACCTCCCCAACTCTACAAACAGGTAATTAGCAGGGCAGAACGGAGAAACTCTGATCAACGCTGTTTCTGCTTATTATCTCTTGTACTGAGTCTTGAAATCAAAACCTCCCAGAAATTCATTGCTCACAACCCAGCCATCACTGCCTGCAGCAATAGTGTGAATGTGGGAGACAGTAATGGCCCTCGTATACAAATCATATTGAAGAGCAAGACACAACAAAGAGAAAGGAGGGCATCACTTACTGGTACATCTGATCCTGGTGCCTGTGTGGAGTTTGGGTTTGTTGTGTTATCTATGTCCAAAAAAAATGAAAGCAAATGAATCAATAAGAACACTTCCTGGTTCAGTGAAAACCATTTAAAACCTGAGGCACAAATGCCTCAGAGGTTAAATTAACAAGATATTCAAGGAAGTAAAGACAATTAACATCCAGTTCTCACGGGAGTATTGCATGCTGAGAAAGAATCAGCCTCACAGCTCAGGAGACCCTCAGTCTATGTAAGATGCCTGACATTGAAGCTTAGAAGTTGTCCCAAGCATTCAACTGCTCCCCACTGCCCTAGTTAGGGAGGGAAAGTTGACATTCCCAATTCCAATCCGGATCTCGATTTAGAATGCAAATGAAATTGCATTTGTCAATGATGGGAACCCAAAGTGCAATTCAGTTATAAACTTAAATCCACTGTCGACACATGCCCTTTGAGCAACATGTCAATGTTTAATTATCACCCAGGGTGACAGATCCCACTTTTAAATAAAACACAAGGTAGTCATGGGAGAATTGGAAATCTTTGGAGAGATTTTTTAAAGTACATTTCCCTTGCAATCCACTCTGCCTGTTACACAGTCACTTTTTAATAAATTCAGACCAAAGTTTCAGATCTTGGGCCAAATGCTGTGGAGCAGGGTTTGGGTTGGGGGTTTGGGTTGGGGTTAGCAGGCATAGATATGAAGTCAGTCACAAAAGCTCAATGCTGTAACTGCGCCCTGTTCCTTTGCCCTGCTGCATGGCTCCTGCCCACCCCCTCAGGCTGCTGCATGGCTCCTGCCCACTCCCTCAGGCTGCTGCATGGCTCCTGCCCACCCCCTCAGGCTGCTGCACGGCTCCTGCCCACCCCCTCAGGCTGCTGCATGGCTCCTGCCCACCCCCTCAGGCTGCTGCATGAAAGATATATAAAATAGAGGGGGGAGGGGTTGGGGAAGTACAAAATAAGACTTTGTAAAGTCAGCAGTGATAACAAAACTAAAGTTGCCAATGGGCCGTGCGCCTGGTGGTAAACATGATTAAAGCCACATCCTGCTAATATAGTAACAAGAGCACCTTGAAAATCTTTTCAGCTTACTGTTATACTTAACATTCACAGATTTAGTATATATCATTCACCAGAGAGAGAGAAATTAAAGATTTTTAATATTGTTCAGTCAGAGCTGCATCCCGCACTCAGCCACCAAGGAAACTTTGTCTGAAGGACTTGGGGGAGAACAATGAGGACACCTCCCCAGGACAAGTTGTTTCTTTCAGCATGGGTTCTGAAAACTTCTCCACCGCCAGTTCCCAGAACTGCCTGATTTCCGCTTTCAACCCCAATGTGGCTATGTCTATCCCATCCCCCAGCACTCCAGTTGACATTGTACCTGTACCAGACAAATACTCCTGGGTCATGTTAATAAATAATCTCTCAGATCACTGCACAGCAGTAATCTCACCTCATCATTCACCAGGCACCATACAGAGAACAAGCATCAGCTCACTCCCACTTCCTGATCCATTTGGTAATGATTAACCAACAATAACCACTAAAAAAAACAAGCTTTCTCTGTTACTTACTGACTACATAGTAACACACTTTAAATGTCAATTCATCCAAGTCTGTTTCTCC